TACCTGCCTTCCTATCTGCCTGCCTGCCTGCTTGCTTGCTTGCTTGCTTGCATCCCCTTTTGTTTGTTTTTTTTTTTCGATACGTACGTGTATTTACACACGATCTCCATAACCCCTTACCCTCCATCCCCATTCACCTGGTGGCATCGACGAAAATTTACGAGAACGAGGACCACCACGACGATGTTTTCGAACAAACCAACCCCCTTTCTCAAATTTTCGACAAGCACCCATTTGAGATACTTTTCTGATATTTATTAATATATATATATATATATTTAATATATTTATTTAATATTATTAATATATAATTTACTATAAATTAATGTATACTTATATATATATATATATATATAATAAATATATACTATATCTATTAAATTATATTATATTTGCTATAAATATATAATATAATATAATATAAAATAAAAAAATATAATATAATATAAAATAATTAAAAAAAAATATAATATAAATATAGTAAATAATAAAAAAATATACTTTATATATAATTATATAATACATTATAATATATTTATAATTATGTGCTACCTACAAAAAAAATAAATATATATTATAATATATATATAATAATTATATATAATTTATTTTATAAAATAAATTCATTAAATTAATAAAATTGTTAATTAATTAATTATTATTTAAATTATTTATAAATTATTATAAATTATTTATAAATTATATTGCGAAAAGTAGTGAGTTTTTATCCGGAAAATAGTGAGGTTTTTTCCGAAAAGTAGTGAGGTTTTTTCCGAAAAGTAGTGAGATAAATATAAATTATATATATATATATTTAAAAATTATCTTTATTAAATTTTTAAAATGTAATATGACGTGAATCACTTCAGTGGTAACTAAGAATAGAACTTAAGAAGATGTTAATTCACATCAACGTTCGCAAATGTGTTAATGTTCTAAGTAGACTACAAATAAATAATATCGCGCGATTCTACTTTATATTATCTTTTTCTTTACTGTATATTATTTAATATAGAAAATATTGTACCCCTAAAACTATTTAAAAAAACAAGAAATTAAAAGAAGATACTTTTAGGACGACCTAATATTCTAAGTAGATTAAAAATAAATAGTAGTATAGTGATAATGATAATAGCAGTAGTAGCAGTAGTGATAGTAGTATAGTGATGTATTTCATTTTGATACGAGAAAATGTATTCCCCATCTTAACTTTCCACTAGATGCGTTAGTAAATGATGCGTAAGAGTGGTGAGTAAGTCTCGGGTGCGTGCAACCGAAGCGACGAAGCATCGCACGCGCGTAACAGAAAAATATTATGGTAGGAGGGAATAGGGGGAAAAATAAAAAAAAAATAAAAACAGTGTGAGAGAGAAAGAGAATGAGAGAGAGAGAGAGAGAGAGAGAAAAAAAGAGAGAGAGAGAATTCTGTTCGCTAAGATCGGCCAGTTTTTGATTTGATTTATTCCTTTTACCATACTGGGGGTCACGCTCGAGAGAACTCGCGTGTAGAAAATCTTGTTTCAAAGTCGTCGAGCTTGTTTCCTTTTATAAAATATTTTTCGATTGCAAAGAAAGGGGTGAAAAAGCTTTTTTTTCATTTGTGTGAGTGTGTGTGTTGGTTTCTTTTTAATTTTTCAAATATTTTTATGTAAACGATTGTCTTCTTTTTATTTTCTATTCTTTATTTATTTATTTTTTTTTTTAATTAATTCGTTTGATAAAATGTACTCAGTTCTTTTTTATTCTTTTATTACATTTGTTTTATGTGTCGTTGATTTCTATTTAATTTTCCAAATATTTTTACATAAACAATTATCTTTTTTTTTTATTTCCTATTTTTTAAAAATAAATTCGTTTCATAAAATGTACCCTTTTTCTTTCTCATTCCTTTTTCTTTTTCTTTTTGTTTGACCTACTTTTCGTTGAAAGCAGCAAAACCCCACCCGAACTGAATTTAATGCACCGACAAGTTAAAATGATTTCTTGCCCATGAAGTTTTTAAACAGTTCCTACGCCATTGAATACAAGAGCGGCATTGTCTAGGAGGCCTGGTAGTGCAACAACACCATACCACATCACACACCATAGCAGTAAAAGCACCATACGGATAACACGTACGTACGTGTCTTTCTCGTGAGAGAAAAAGAAGGTACTCACCACTATTACACACTGCTGCACAAGAAGCAACGTGAAATACCTAACTTGTTAGAATTTATGATAGAAACGAGATGGATTATCGATCCTAGAAATATGATGAACTATTACTATTTTATAAGACCTTCCCCCTAAATGTTTTGATAGCTTTTGATAAATTAAATCAATTAATCGTCGTATTTTTAAATCATTGAAAATCATCGACAACATTTTATATTTATATTAATAAAATAAAATATAATTATAATTATATTAATAATAAATAAATAAATATATAAAAATAAATATATTAAATTTAAATAAATATTATATTTTTATAATTATATAAAATATATTAAATTTATATAAAATTATATTATTATTAGGAAGATATATCTTATCACGAAGATAAATAGTAAGAAAATTTTTGATACGACCTAATATTTTTCATAATGCATTTATATTGCACTTTATAATCTTTTTATGCGTTTTATTTTTCTATTTTTCTTTCTATCTTATGCTGTTAAATATACTAGCAAAAGAGTCTACGGGGGCCCAAGCTTAATGATTAATTAAGCTTTCCGAGAAAAGTCTACAAGTGAAACGTTATTAACGTTTAGAGTGGCACAGTTTACTTCAACTACGAACGTCACTAATACTTTTTTCTTTCTTTTTCATCATCTTCTTCTTCCTCTTCTTCTTCTTCTTCTTCTTATTATTATTCTTTTTCCTTTTCATCTTTATTTTTTTTTTTTTTTTTTTTTTTTTTTTTTTTATTTCATGATAGGGAAGATCCATCTTCCTTTTACGCTATTAACGATTACCCATAGCGAAATGAAGTGGCGCCTATACTACCGATATAGTATAGTAGTTAGATAGGTTGAGGTTGGTATCTCAAGATAGTTGAATCGAAGAGACGGCATCTCGTTCGAGATTAAAAGGTAATCTCATAGCATCCTTCGATTTTCATCATGATTCATAACCGATTGAAACGAGTAACTTCCGATCGGTTATAGTTACTTTACTTACTTATCTAACGTTATTCGCGTAATTATTAGAAATTTGATGATTCATTTTCATAGATCAAACTGTGCATAGGATTTATATATATAGGATTTATATATATTTAATTATACGATTTAATATAATTATAAGTTGATTTACAAATATTTTCTGAAAGTAATTACTAACGTTTCTTATGAAATACTAATTATAATTTAATTTTTGTTTTTACTAAGGAACAAATATATTTTAAACAGTATCAATACTATATTGTGAGTAACTCATTTTAATACTATATTTATTATATATTTTAAATAATTATAATTGATTTAAAAAAATTTTCTAAAGTAAAATTTATATTACAAAATCCTAGTAATTTTTGTTTTTACAAAAAAAAAAAAAACAAATATATTATAAACTGTATTAATATTATTGTAAATAACTTTAAGATAAAATTTTTGAAAAATATCCCAAAATATATTACATAGTATATGTTTTACTTATATTTATTTATTTTACTTATTATTTTTATTGGTATATACATATAAATATAAAATAATAAAATAAAATATAATAAATATAAAAATAATATATATAGAAAAATATGAAAATAAATTCACGGTTTAGTTAAAACAACGTTAGTATAAGTGTTTAAACAAAAATAAAACAAAAATACTAATAAATATATTAATATAATAGTATATAATATAATATAATATAATATAATAATAATAATAATATAATATAGTAATATAATAAATATATACTATAATACACATATAAAATAATAAAATTAAATTGACGATAATATACTGAGGTTTGTGTAAATCATAAACAAATGTCATCGTATAACAAGTTTTATAATAGTTTTGACCCTATTATCAAATCAAGCATTTAAATGCTTTAAATTGACTTATAAAGCCGACATCTAGGACTAATTTATTCCAAGTAGAAAATAATTATTAAAAAAAAAAAAATAAAAAAATAGTAGTTTATATCACGAAGTGTTTGAAAAGTCGGAAAATTGTTGTTAAGTCTCGCGTGTGACCATCTGGAAAAGGTTAAAACCGCGTTCTTGAGATTTCTAGCTTAAACGAAGCGGAGATGGGTGGTAGATAAGAGAGATAAGAGGATCACTGCTACCGACAAACGCACTCAAAGATTCTTGACTCTCGTAGAACTCAACAATTTTTCCGGCACGTTCTTCCATTTCTCTATTTTCATATTTCTCAACACGAAAGAAGACACGTGTTGTAATTACCCCAAAGATACTAAGATCGTTTAGGCTTTTTTTTTTTTGTTTTTTTATCTTCTTTTTTTTATCTTCTTTATGGTTATATTTATTATATGTGATATTTCCTTTTTGCGATTAAACACGATTTTATTTCAACACGTTTAAGTGCATTCTTACAAATGTCAGATAACATCCACGTTCCAATTTTCTAAAAGATGTATATAGATAATAATAATAATAATAATTATAATATAAAAATAAAAATAAAAATATAATTTAGTGATTAGAATAAAAGATGTAATTATATATTTATTATATTTTATAAATTTTATATTTCATTATTTTATAATTTGATATATATTTTAATTCTATATATAAAAATATATAAAAAATAAATTATAAAATGTAATTAAATATTATACAGTATTTAATGTGTAATTATAAATATATATTATTATATATTTTATAATTTTATTAATTAGTAGTATTTTAAATTGTTTAAATAAATGAAATACTTAAAGAGGTAATATTTACAAATTTTTTACAATACATATCACAGAATTAACAAAATCAAGATATTATTGAACACTTCAATAAAATACTTATTAATATTTATTTATTTTTTTTTCAGATCTATCCTGATTTTCATCGCACTCATGCACATCAATGTATCATCCTCACATATACCAAAAAAGTATCCGATCGAAGTAAGTTTTCACACAGGTGAATAATCTTATTTTTCATAATACACATATAGAGTACAATATAATAATAAATTTTAAAGTAAATAACGTATACATATATCTATTAAGATTATAATTAAAAACAATATTTATAAATTACTTTTTAATAATATTCAAATTAAGTATATAAACATTTCAATTAATTTTTCATAATATTTGGATATTATTGTTTCTTCAAAGATATATATATACCACACTAGAAACACGATTACGTATATGTTACATTAACATTCATAAACTTGATAACTATCTTATCCTTGGCATTCCATCTTTCGTTGAATATTAATTTAATCCACTTACGTAAATGAATAGGAAAATTACGTCGACTTTATTCTTGGGTGGTAGTGTACTGGGTATAATGATTAATTGACATCTGAGCAGATTCCTAAATTACGATGGTACTAACTAAAGAAAGAGTGCACCAAGTTTGTGTGCACACAAGGACGTTCTTTATTATATTGTTCTCTTCTTTTTTATTTTCTTTTTTTTTTTTTTTTGTATTTTTTGTTAAAACGATAAACTAAGGGAAGGGTTGGGGAAGGGTTGGGGAAGGGTTAAACCTGCAAAACGTAAATACGTGATACCGTGTTCGTTGTTATCGTATCGAGTTTCACCGTAATATCACCAAACACGAGTGTCCTAGTGAAATGAAATCGTTCCTAGTAATCTGGTTGATTAAAATTATACAAAAAACAAAACTACCATAAATTGTTGTATAAATTATACAAAGTGTATATTTAGTGGAAATAGTATACCAAGTTTAGATATTATCATACTGATATAAAACATATAATCTGTAGAACTAATATTATTATTTTATCATAAAATTACGAATATTTATATATTATTATCTTGTGTTGGAATATTAATCATTCCCAAAAGTATTTTTGTTATTTTATTATACTATTCATTTTCAAACTTAATATAACTTTATATATATCAAATTATTTTACATGCACGTATCTACGGATGTAATTTTTTAAAATATTAAAACAACATTTTTAGAATTAAAAAATTAATTATTGAAATTCTTATAAAAGTAAAAATTAATAAATTTCAATTTAAAAACTATATTTTTTTTTTCAAATTTTTAACACACACATTCAAAATAATTAATTTCAATTTAAAAATATAAACAAATCGTAAAAAACTTGTAACAATATACACGTAAGTCGAGTTAAAATAAATCTAAATAAATAAGTAATGCAACTCAATATTCGATCATACACGTATATTATAAATTTTAATTATTATTAAATATATATATATATAAATATGTATATATGCGAATCTTTAATATCCTACATTAATAATTCAACAAATAATACGATATCTATTTGATATTCAAACCAAAATTTCCTATGTTAATTTATTATCTTTCGATAATCTAACTTATAAGTTGTTGTTGTTGTTGTTGTTGTTGTTGTATATTGTTATTAATCCCTCGAGAACTATATAACGATTTAAAGCTTATCGCAAATACTAACGAGTTTTTTTTTCCATATTATTCACGTATTATTTTCCAGGTGTATCATATGCTACAAGAGAGAACACAGTTTGGAATTGGTCGTGAAAATCGTGTTAGTGGTAGTTGGGGTACCTGGAGCAGTTGGAGCGAATGTTCAAGAACATGTGGCACTGGTATTCAATCACAATCACGAGAATGTGTTTCTACTCGGTAAGAAGTCATTATTTTCATTGTCATTAACACGTTCCGTGCTATTCATAGAGATAGTACACATAGAACAGACAAGCCAGCATAAAACCTGTCGGCGAAATAAAAAGAGATAGAACATGGGAGGTTGATTTTGTCTCTCTCTAACTTGCGAGTCTTTTGTGTACCACATGAGTTAGAGAGAGACAACATCAACCTTTCGTTTTTTGCTGCTATACTCATACAGAGACATTTCCACTTACACAATCTCTTATGGTTTGTCTACTCTATCTGTAATATCTCTATGGTGCTATAAGCCCTTTTTACCTGACTTGTCATTCAGACCATTTAATTTTGTTTTAACAAAATCAATCATTACACGTTGATACACACTTTTAATTTGACGATCGTACTGAGAAACACAAACAACGGACAGCTATAGCCGTCATTTGCAACAACCTGTTAAATTTTTATTTAATAAAACACACACACACACATTCACCATAAAAATAAAGTTTTTTGCAAGTTAATAAAAATCGTTGACAGTGTTAATAAATTTTCTTTTGCGTGTTCTCTCTCGTCGTAGATTTATTTTCGAATTGATTAGAAAAGCAAAACGATCGAAGTTCACGCGATCCTATTTTGTTATCACGATCAAGGTAAAGAAGAAGAAACATGGGGATCGGTAGGTAAAGTCCCTTTTTCTTTCGACATAAATACGTTTTATCTATTTACCCCCCTCCCTC